CATCCATCAATCCACCAAATTTAAACTACAAATCTCATCCATGCTTAAAGTTTAAGTTTAGATTTCCATGATTAATTAGCTTCTTACATACTACTTATGGACCCAAATATCGGCACCATGTCCGACGTTTATTTACTCAAGAATAATTAATTAATTAATTAACACGCTGAAATTGTCTTAATAGTGAAATTAGCATTGCATGGTTTACCAAATGGTTATGTGATAAGCAAAAGATCACCTGTTTTGCTGATCCTTCTTTTACCTTAATAGAAGTCCGGTCAAAATGATCAACCCACCAAACCAGTCCATTTTGATCCCTCATAATCTCATCCTTGCATCCAATGCCACTAGTTTTGTGTGTTTTTGTTAATAAAATTGATGATTATGCAATATTAGCTCATCGGGGTAAGATGATGTATATATGTGAGTATTGTTAAGAACGACTCACTACTGATTACATTGATGTTGTCTCCAAGCTTGTATATTATCTTATACACAGCACAACAAATATGTAAGTATTTATCACAAAAAACCTCGGTGCAAGTATTATCTAATGTCATCAATACTTGAATTTGTCATTGATTTAATATGTGTTCGGGTGAAGATTTCTCTAGAAAAGGATCCTCGGACCTCAGCACAGCTCTCCAAGGGATTGGCACTTTGGATGTGTAGTCAGACTCTTGCTTGTTGATGTGCTACAAGAATGGGGCATATTTAGTTCTAAAAGGTGCCTTTGTGGGGCCTTAGGTGTAGGCCTTGAGGCTTGCAATCAAAACTAACTAAGTGCTAAGCGTGCCACTGCTATCTCAGTATAGCAGATGTAGAACAAGAGTGTTTTTAGTCAATTACTTGCATCCCAAGTTACTCGGACTTCTTGTTATCAAATGATTGTTGCATATAGGTTAAGTCTACTTTAAGTTCTTTTTCTTACCTTGTAAACAATGCCTTTTAGTTCATAGTCTTGCATGTTTGAATGAAGGGAGTCCAGATCCCCTTAAGTCATTTGTTTGGTCCCAAGTTGCTTTTAATGATAACATATCCATTAAACTAGTCGGATCTAGATACAAATGAGACTCTTAAAGTAGGAAGTCAGGTGGAAATCACTTGAATACATACTGGAGAATGCATTAAGTAGTAGATCTACAAATTTAGAAAACAAACAAAGAATTTCGGGCAAGATTTCATCTTGTCTATCAAGGTTGAACCTCTTGCAATCACTTCTCTTTGAATTAATAGGGGTTTATATGCTAAAAATGGATGGATGGTAAACAAGTTTACACAAGATAATAGATATTATACCACTACGGGATATAGCAGAGCTTTAAACTGAACAAGAGATAGCTTGTCGCTAAAAATGATTGAATCTGGGTTGATTTCAGCTTTTGGATGCAAATCTAGCTTGAGAGCAGAGTTTGTATGTTTGTTTGTTTGATTGGTTGAGTGTCCTTGTCTCTGAGGCATCTTCCTTCTTTTATAGGCAAATTAGCCCGACTGTTGTAACTTTGTTCTTGCCCGAAAGCACTTGGAGGGTAGTGAGTCATCTACTTTTTACTTGGAATGCCACTAGAAAGTGTTCTTTGGCTGGTAGTAGGTTAGTCTCCATCACTTGTCACTTCCATAGTAAGCATGTGGCTTGCATTTTGGCTGAGAAGGCTTCACTTTGCCTTTGGGCTTGGTGCTGGGCTTCGGGCAAATCCCCTTTTAGTTGTCATCCTTAGGCTTTCCTTCATCTAGGTCCAATGTTCAAATATTAACCCAAACAATATGGTTTATGAATTTCACTCTTGTTTTACACTCCTCACCTTGTTTTTGTCCCCCAATTATCCTTTGGTCCATCCTAAGACTAGATAATAAGGACACCTGAGGAGAAAAGAGAAGTGCAAAAATCATTTCCCTTGAATATTTCATTGGCTTTTGATTGTTGAATAAAAGAAAATTGATGCATAGATGGAACTGTAAAGACCAGATAAAGTTTATCAAGGAGTTTTGAGTATTTTTTGTATTGACAAATTTTCTCCCATGGGTAATGGACCCGTAGTAATGTGTAATATTGCACAACTCTTTTACCTATAAAATGTACAAATACCAAAGCGGGCAGGAAATGTGCCCATGAACTATTCACAAGAACCTAAACCTCAGAGAAAAGCACAATCTAAGAAACAAGTGTCACGGGTCCACAAGTGTCCACTCCTAACTCCAGCAATGCACCGATAGTGTCTCAAATTAACCACCTAAACCCAATACCCTAGGTGGTATTAAGCCGAATGGCTCTCAAGTGTAGGGCTTTATCTTAAAGGACCTCGGTGCAATAGGAGAGGATCACCTATTTTTAAACCTTAGATTACTGTTGGCTTGTATCTTCATCTCCTTGGTTTGTATCGAGCAAACTTTACACGAACAAAAGAATTTTGCTATTCCGGGGGATTTGAATCTCTTTTTAGCAGTAGATGCCCAGACTCTTTCTTGAAAAGCTTTTCAACCACATCATCCCAACTTGCCCTTCCACCAGTGGACTTCGACTTTGTATCGGCAGGGTCTTCACTCTTATTCCCAATCTCTGGAGCCTCCTCCAGTTTTTGGTCTTCGGGGGCTTCCTCATTGGGCGTTACAGCATGAGGCACATTCAAACTGACAGCTCTTTCCAATGCATCTTTGTGTTCTTTTTCAAAGGTCCGCAACCTCTCTAGTTTTTGTACTTTTGGGGCAGTTGTTACGGTCTCAGAACAACTTTCCTTCATTCTCTGAAGAGTATTTACATCACTGATCAGTAATTATTCAACATATAAAAGATAAGCATTTGCAATTCAATAGCAAACAGATAAACTCCCAAAATTTCACTTTACACTATGGTTCACAATTTCACCTATATGCTCGCTAAAAAGATCCATAATTAGCAATCGTAAAAACCCAAGAATAACACATTCTGACAATCTAACCAATTGACACATGTTGGCACTTGAACAATGTCCACAAATGCAAAGGGGGAGGAAACAACTTATAGCCTAGGGAGAGAAAGGGAAAGCTTTGAGCGGATGGTTTTCTTAGTAAATGAAGGGACAATATATCAAATGGAAATTGAATTGTCAGAGTGAAGACCGGCCTTCTTTCCTTCTGATCTTGTTCCACCAGTTACCTCTGCTCAAACTAAGAAAAAGTGACCAAAGACAGTAGCTTAACCCTTTTCCGTTTACTTCTTGCTCCCTTTCCAACAACCAAAGACAACCTTAAGACACAAGCTACTCTACAAGACAGCTAGTCAATCATGTTACTTTGGGGATTTGGGCAGGAGATAAACAGAATGCTGATATTCTTTGCATCCCAGTGGAAATTGAAGAATCGGCCTTGAGCTAAAAGCATATTTAATTTAGTTTAACTAAGAAAAGTAAAATGTAGACTTGGCGGAACATCGAGTGCAGTGGCATTCTAGGATTCATACAACCGACCCCACTTACTGGGATAAGGCTTGGTTGTTGTTGTTGTTGTTGTTGTTGTACAGGAAAAATAAAATGTACGAAATGATAATCATGGCAGTCTCAAAAGGAAAAGAAACGATAAGGGTTATAAAAGGTTGTAAGTTATGTTCCACTTACTAATAAAGCCTTCTCCGCTTCCCTTTCTATCCAGATAATTCCATGATCAGATGTGGCATTACATGACAAGACTATATGTTCAAATCTCCCATCAACAGGAATGGCAGTTCGGACCTCTGGAGGAAACCTCCCACATCTGTTATACGAAGCAACGAGGAACTCAATCATCGCATGAACACAACAGTTTGGGTTCCAACATAACACTAATGCCTTCCAGAAAGTAAATCATTAATTAGTTCAACAGACACACCCGCAAAGAGAATCCCATCAAAACAAACAGATTTGTTCCAATTTTGAAACTTCGCAAACTGGTATCGGGAAGATTTTACTTGACGCAAAAGTAAGGTACAAATAATGGATTTCTTTAAAAAAGCAAGCATTGTTATAGATAAGCCAACAGTTCATAACAATTAGAAGACCATAACCTGACATAAAAAGATGTATTTACCAAGAGATACTCCTAGAGATAATGGCCAATTAACAGAGAACTTTGAAAATGGTAATATTTTTATATCCAATTTTTTTGAGGCACCATGACCATTCAATGTACAATTATAGACATTGTAAACCCCACTTATTAAGTTTTTATCTATTCCAAATAGTACCACACCCTGGTAAAAATCTAGTGAAACATTCATTAGACAAGAATCAAGATTCAAACTTATTTCCAAAAGAAAATGAGGGCAAAAGTTACAACTAATGTGCACTTGCATGAGGGACTTTGAAGTTCCATCAAACTTAGGCTACATTAGTTAGGAAGCACCACAAAAATATGTTGATGAACTTTCAAAAGAACTAGATGCTAACTTAGCTAGGCATACATAAAAAAAATTATGTGGATGGACTTTGTTATGCTATACCTTTGAGAGAAATTTCAATGAAACCTTTCAAGGTCATTTTGAAAGTCCCTTGCTGCATTTGTAGTGTTTTAGAGTAGCTTTGTAATGTTTGAGTAGTTCATTGGTAGGCTTAGTTCAAAGGATAGATTTTAAAGTTCATTGGGCTTTGAAAGTCCTCATCCAAATGTAGCATACATTTTTTCATGTTACGAGTTAGAGCATCTCCAACATGCTCCCTGAATGAGCCCCATAGCTAAAATTTAGGGAGGAGTCAGAAAAATTCAACTTCAATCATACTCCCTTTCCACCTCCTAAGGTAGGGATTCTTCTATGAGCTCTCTGAGGGAGAAAGGAGCTCCTAGAGGGTAGATCCTACAGAGTCTAACGACTAATGTTCTCACCAGATATACATAGTACATTAAAATGAAAAGCCACGAAGAATCCATTTCCTAAGTAGAACCTAAAGAGCAATTGCCTCCCGCTACCAGAGTCTGTGAATCACAAAGCAAAACAATTTCTAGGCCATGGAGCAACAGTTACCAAGGACACAAATTTCACATTGGTCTCAAAAAATCCAAAATCCTAAGCACCGGATTCATGCGGATGTGCAAATTAATGATATGATGTAAATGTGCAACAGCTGTAAGTAAGGCAAGTAGCATGCTTGCATTCATTCAGGAATTCATTACCCTTGACTCCATAAGTACCGAATGGCATCAAGGTTTCTTTGTCAATGGACATTCAACCACACTTTCAAGATTCACAAAAATAAAATGACAAGATTGTTGTAAGGATCATGGGGTACCTGCAACATTTGCGCTCAACAATATGATACATCCGACCAGGTGCGTAAAGCCTTCTGGGATCCCTAAGCTTCCTACCTTCTGGTATGAAAGTATCCCTCAAACAAACCAAAACAAGAAGCAGGGCAAGCTGTCGAAAACCGCCAAAAGTGTTAGTAGTTCACTCCACTTTAAAATCTACAATTCCAATTAAATTTGTTTTATTTTTCGTGATATAATAAAATTTAATGGTTTCAACGAGTACCAACCAAAAGATGGACTTGAAAATATCTTCCAAAGGGGTTGCAGTTCTTGGCAAGAAATCATCCTACAAACACAATCACCAATTCCACAAGTCACGAAAACAATTCGAAACAAAACAAACACATTTACAAACACAAATGACAACCTTAAACTCAGACAAACCTACCTGCAAAACAACCGAGTAAATAACGTCGGCATACTTGACGGCCAAATTCAACGACATACAACGCGCCGGAGCAAGCGCATAGCACCTCACCTTGCTTCGGGGGACTCCGCCTAGCCGGTCCCGATGGTTGACCACAATGACAGTCAGCAGCGCCGCCACACCAGACCCCAAAGAGTGACCCGCAAACACCATATCGTAATTGGACCCGTTTTCGAGCCAGAGCCGCTTCAATGTCTCGCCCTCTTCGTTAAGCAGCCAAATCGCCGACTTCAAGAGGCCGTGGTGGACATATCCACCGTCGAACATCTGCATTCCGAGCTTGTTATCGAGCAAGAGCTTGTAGTCACTCTCTTTGACCAAATTGAGGCCGCGAATGGCGAGGACGAGCTCCTTGTGGTCGTGGTCGACGTAGATGAGGTAAGGAGGCGCCTGGCCGTCGGTTTGCTCGTAGGTGACGCGCTTGACTACCCAGTCGGGGTTGGGGCGGAATCCGCAGGTGGGGATGAAGTGGGGGTTGTGGAGATCGGCCTCGTAGACGGCGAGGACTAAGCGGCAGACACGGGGAACTGGGTCGAACTCGTCGGGAGAGGCGGATGTCCAGGTTGAGCTGTCGTTGGCGCCGATGTAGGTGCAGCGCCGCCACACCCAACGCATACAGCCCAACACAACCACGCACTCCATGCCACACGCCACCGACATTGCTGTTTGGTTTTTTGGTGGGATTAAGGATGGAAGATTTTGATGAATGGGTTTTTGTTTTGCTTCTGTTAAATTTGTGAGAAGCTCATGATTTTTTACGGCGGAGCTTCTGGCGGGAGAGACAGAAGGGAACTGAACAATGGGTGCTTGTCTTAAGCTCCAGGCTATTCTGTAACATGGTTGTCGTTTGCTTTTTTTTTTTTTAATATTTTTTTTTAAGGTAACTTTAACGAAAAGTTATGGTTCTGTTTATTTCAATTAAAAATTATATTTTTACATTAAAAAGTTAATTTTATTAGGGATACTTTGGATGCGATCCCTAATCCTTAACATTCTTTGACTAAAACCTTAATGGTATTCAAAGTTTGATCAAAGTCCCTTGACTTTGTACACCTCATTATATTACAATTAATATTTATATTTTTATATTTTTGACATTAATTGTTTGAGATTTTATAAGATTTATAATCCTATAAATTTAAAATCCCTCATTATAATACTATTGAAAACGGTTACAATAAAAAAATTCAAACATTTTGATTGAATAAATGGATAAAAACTATGTAAAAATAAGAAATAATAAATGGCAAGAGAATGTATCCATAGTGTTAAAAAAATGGGTACATTTCACATATAACAAAGCGGTACATTAATAAAGAAGAATGAGTACATTATAAATAAATTAGGGTACAAATAAAAGATTAAAAAATTATGAGTACAAATGAATTTTTAAAAAATATAGACGCTAAAAGAAATTAATACATGGGTACAAAATAAAACTAAAAAAAAATACTACAAATTTAAAAAAATGTTCCAAATTAAAAGTGGGTACAAACTAAAAATATAAATATATGATACAAAGTTTAGGCATAAAACATAAATATACCATATGTAATTTTTCTATCATTGATTAAATATACAACACATGGGTACAAACACAAATAAAACTTTAAAAAATATGGGCACAAAAAGAAACTAATATATGGGAACAAATTAAAAATGAAAAAAAATTGGTACAAATTAAAAATAGGTACCTACTAAAAATAAAAATATATGATAAAAAATTTAGCCATAAATATAAATATACTAATTGTAACATTTTTAACACTAAAGGAATATATTTAAAAATAAAAATATTTTATTAATCAAATAATTAATGATGTTATTAATACCAAGGACCTTGATCAAAAATTGAAAATGAATAAGATTTTAATCAATGGAGTAGCAAAAAAAAGGATGTGAACCTAATTTCTCCATTTTATTACTATTTACTTTACTTTTTATTTTATCATTTTTATTAAAACTTAAAGTTTTTAAACTCTTTTCATTAATTTTCGTTTTTTAAAGGGTTTTACACGCAAACTAAAACCATCATTTGGCATTTCCGACCACCAAAATGGGGAATACAAAGAGCACATGTGTGACTTTGGATTCTGCGGACTCAGTCATATTGGCCGTCTGATTCAAATCATGAGGCCAGGAATTGATTTAATTTTTTTTATTTCTTTCACAAAAATGGAGGTATTGATGTGGACTTCTTTATTCCTCTTTTCTTTCGTCTTCTTCTTTATTATTTTATCTTTATCTTTCCATCTCTTTTGAGCATGGAAGAAAATATCGATAATATCGATGATATATCGCCGATATTATCGGTTTTTCCCCAAACCGATATTTTAAGTGGTATCCAAGGGGTTTTCGTCAAAATATCGCGATATTATCGATAATATTGCGATATTTTGGAAATATCGCGATATTTTTTTAACGGTGCAATCGGAGAAGAACGCCGGAGATTGTGTGCCTATTTCCGAGCCGATTTCGTCCCAAAAACCTTGCAAAAACACGATTTTGAACTTCAATTTCACATATAAGGTTCAAATTTCACGCATGCAAGAGGTAATCAACATAGGGTTTAGTCGGATCTCACCTGAAAACTTGGGTGTGCCTGGGTGTGGGTGCGATCGGGGAAGCCGAGCTTCCTCTGTGCGTCGCCGTGCTTCCCAGAGACGGAGGAGAGGGAGGGAGAGTTCATGAGGATGGTGGAGATGCTGCGCTGGCATCGTGGTGGACGGATTTGGGTGTGCCTGGGTGTGGGTGCGATCGGGGAAATGGAGTGAGAGAACGAGAGTTCGAGAGAGAGATAGAGTTGAGAACTCTGAGAGAGTGAAGGGTCCGAGAGGGACTCAGGAAAAGAGAGAGAGATAGGGTGAGGGTTAGTGGGCTGCCACGTGGCAGCGTGACAGAGAGTGAGAATCAAGATGGAAGGTCCAGATTAGATTAGGAAAAGGACTCAATTGCAAATTTATATAATTTCAGAAAAAGAGTGAAAATATAAATTAATCTGGGGGTCTAGATTAGATTAGGATAAATGACTCAATTTCAGGGAAAAAGTGAAAATATATAATTTCAGGGAAATAGTAGAAGTTGTATTTATTGGTTAGGCATATGGAAATGCAAAAAATTGTTTTTCTAATGATTCTAATCAATTTCAAGAAAAATAATGAATTTATAAGGGTAAGATGAGTCTATAAAAGTGATATAATGAGTCTATAAGAGTGTCGGTCAGTTAGACAATTTAGATTTTTTTAATCATTTTTGCCAATTGGCTTGTTATCGCCTTGTTTAGATTTTGCATCACCATGTTTTATATTAGGATTTTTTTTTTTATCAAATTGGATTATTATTCATTAATATTATGTTTTATTATCAAATTGGATTATTATTCATTAATATTAGGTTTTTTTTATTATCAAATTGGATTATTATTCATTAAATTGGATTATTATCAAATTGGATTATTCATTAAATTGGATTATTATCAAATTGGATTATTATTCATCACCATGTTTTATATTAGGATTATTTTTTATGAAATTGGATTATTATTCATTAAATTGGATTATTCATTAAATTGGAATACTACTCTTCACAATACACTCACTCTACACATAGAGATGATGAAGATAGTGAAAATTTTGAACCTCATAGGAACTCTATGTGGTACTAAGTCACTTATGTATCTTACCATGCAATGTATAAAGTGTAAAATATTGTACTAATTCATTATATATAAATGATTATGGTGTGTTTAGACTTCTTTCATTAATTACTACATATTTTCTACACTTACAATGTTTGTTGGCTCGCTATATAATCAACTTGATAATGTTAAATCCATCATGCAATGCATTTCTTTCCAATTTTTTGTGATAAACTAATAGATAATTGACTAAATAAACATCCTACAAAGTTTCAATAAAAATTTCCAAGTTTTTCTTCCAATTTCCGTAGTTTCCATGTAATTTTTATCGATATCGATATTTTACCGATATTTCTATCGATATTTCCGTGTTTTCGGACTACCGATATTTCCGATATTACCGATATTTTCTTCCTTGCTTTTGAGTTGTTTCTCTCAAATCTACCAATACCGTCCAATCCACTGTTGGTGACGACCAAAGAGCTAGAAACCACCCTAGTTTGTGGCTCTGGTCCAATTTCGTTGAATTTTGTTGGAAATTTTCATATTTCAAGAATATTTATTAATATTTATCTTTCGTGATTTGTTGCAAGAGAAGTAAAATTCGTATCGTCAAAATTTCTAACCTTTTGAGTTGTTAGAAATTTGAAAAAAGTGTTATTGAGTTGTCATGCTTTGAAAGAAAAATGCAACAAATAAAAAAAGTGTTATTAAGTTGTCATCCTTTGAAAAGTGTTACTGACAAAATATTTATTAATATTCTTTATTTAATCGTCATGCTTATGAGTTTGGAAGTAGATTGTCTGCATTCTTATTTCCATACTTTTCACATGCCCTCCTGCGATGTGTGATTACAGTTAAACCACGTTAATATTTTATATTAATTTTTTATAAAATAATAAAATAAAAAGTAATAAAAATATAAAATATTGACGTGACTTAACTGTGACTATACAAACAAAAATAGATGGTAAAAGTATGGAAATGGAAGGGCAAACAGAAATATATTGTCATGAGTCATACTTTAAAAGAAAAAGCAAAAAAAAAAGTATAGCTAGCTGTACATTTGAGAACCTTCCTTCCAGGACTTATGAGTCATACTTTAAAAGAAAAAGGAAATAAAAAAGTATAGCTAGCTGTATGTTAAAGAATCTTCATGTATTCTTCTTTGATAAAGGTGTTACTGAGATGAGAGAAATTTGAAATTTTAAGATAAAACTCAGATGCACAAATAAACGTTTTTGCGACAACAAATTTATTTACTTGTTTACTCAATATTGTAAGTTTTTAAGGTTTTTAATACCCAAATTTGGTGCGCAAGCTCATTATTCAAATTTTATAATTTTATTTTCCTATCACAATTAAATAAAGAATATAGTCAATTAAAAATAATTATTCCTTTTTTTATGTCAAAAATTATTAAAGTTTAAACGAACAAAAAAGAAATTAGAGATTTTATACGAAACGTTAATAATAAATTTTTTTAAATGATAGTGAATATTAATTTAAGTTTGAACTCAAATTTCTGAATTTTTGTCATTGCTTCTCTGAGCTCCCTCTTTAGATTAGCCGATTAGTGGTTCCATTCTCAAAGTAGTGTAGTTGTCTTGTTGCCTAGGTTTGCAAGTGTTGTGGTTTCCACTTTGCGATGGCTATATTATGTGGTCTTGCCGTACAACAATGACTTGATGTGATCTCGCTCCTCTGCAATGATTTTACGTGATGTCACTTCAGCAATGACCGGTATAATCGCCAATAAAGGTTTATTGTATCTATCATTTTGAATAATGAGCTTGATGTGGTTCGGGAGTGCATTTTCAATAAGGTGGATATAGTTGAATGGATGAAAATGTCCATCTAAGATTAGAAGAACTACTATTCACTACTCCTGTTGGATTGGTCGTTGTGTTATGCTTGGTTTATGTGAATTTTGGTATTGATCTAGATTTACTCAATGATTTGATGGGGAGGAACTATATCACTGAACAGCTGCCGTCGGAGTTTTATGATACCCTCAAAAACAAGAGGAGCCGCAAATCTGTTAGCTTAGATGTCAATGTGCTCGCGGCAGCTCTTAAGATGGTAGCTAAAACTTGGTAATAGCAAGTTTTGGGACCAATTGTTCAAGGTTATGTTCAGATGCTATCTTTGTTGACATGGAAGGCCAACCAGTCGAGGGATGACATATTTAGAAAATTGTTTCGTAAACCACCCGTCCAAAAAGCTTCGCGAGCTGGATCTTGCAGTCGTGTGTATTGTGCAACCAATTCTGGGGAGGGGAAGACTGGTGCTCTGCATTAGATAAACCATGTGACGCCGGGGAAAGTTACACTATAGGTGAGGAAAATTGCGAATCCAGCAAGCATCCAGAGTCTCCGCAAACTGATGTTGTTTCTGTACCGAGTGAGACCGGGGACAGTCACATCATAGCCTAGGAGAATCGCATATGCAATGAGTCAAATCTGTTGGCTGATGCTGCGTCTGCTTCCCAATGTAACAGAAACAAGGGGAAGACAAAGAACAAGAACCAGAGGGGCAAGAACAAGGAGAGCAGAAAGTAGCCCGCTAGACATTATATATATGCGATCTGAACCTTGTTTTGCTGTGCAAGAACTTGCAGGTTCCCTTGATATAATATCAGACAACTTATCTTTGATGAGCATTGTTTGTTACAATTCATTACATGTTGCAATGTCAGTTTTGACTGGATACTGTTGGTTAAAGACGAAACCCCTAACTACCATGGCAATTCACCACTAGTAAATATTTACCATTTTATGTAATAATTTATGTAATTTTTTACTATATAGGTGGACCGTGGATCAGCTTCTCCTTTAATTGTTTCCATTATATTTCTCCGTTACAATTTGAAAATGCAAAATTAATAAGTGACGACACGTTAGGGATGTTCTTGAACAACTCTCTAGTTTGTGTGCAGGGAGTTAATGACCAATTACGACATTATTTTTTAAATAACAATATATTTACACTAAAAGAGTGGGGGAATAATTTGGTGAACAATGCTTGACTCCTCAAGGATGAGTAGAAACTTCTACTCAAAACTCTTTGTGTTCGAATCACAAAGCTTTGTGCTTATGATAAAAACCGTTCATATTATGAGTCATCTCTGCAAAAATGAATTAAAACTAACGTCGTTTAGTCGATCTATTGTAGTAAATACATAGACGGCTCATAATGCTTTTATCAATTCATTCATCTATTTTTATATAGTTCGATGACTAAACGACCTTAGTTTTAATTGATTTTTCATAGAGGCAATCTTTATAAAGTAATTTATAGTATGAACGGTTTTGATCAAAACACATCGACAAAGAACAATTTTGAGTAGGAATTCCTAATCATCATTTGAGTAGCCAAGTATTGTTCTAATTTAGTATCGAACTCACCATTTACGAGAATTGAATCTAAAACCTATTACTAGACCGCTCTTCGACATTCAGCAATTCCTCCTCCAGTTGACATACCCGACTCTTGTCCGAATATACTTACGTATAAAGTGATAGTGGTTTCAGAAGAGGTGATTCCATTGATTCGGTTGTTGACAGTACTAAGTAGTTGTTAAGCGTAGTTGGCATCTAACTAACCCAAAGTAGGCAGCCAAATAAGAAAACTCAGAGCAGAACAAGTGAACTTTGACATCATTGTGCATGCTTTCTGTTAATTTCGAAATTTAGTAATCTTTACACTCTGAAGCAACCACCACCTAACAAGTAACAAATCAAACTCTGCTGACTTAGGCAGCTGAGTTGGCCAACTCCCCAAACTGTGCTGCTTTAGACCTCATCAGAATTTTCACGATCAATTTACTATAAATTCTTGTCTCACTAGCTGCCACTTACTCCCCAAGTGAGAAACATTCAAAGATGGAAGTGACAATGTGGATGGCTCTAGCTACCACCATTTTCGCAACCATGGTAGCCGTGCCTTCATTGGCAGCGACTACCGTGACCTTCACCTTCGGTGACTCCTTGACAGATGTAGGAAACAACAACTATCTGCAGTATTCTCTTGCAAAGTCAAATTATCCTTGGTATGGTATCGATTATGTTGGTGGTCGACCTACTGGGAGGTTCAGTAATGGAAGAACCATCGGTGACGTAATATGTACTGTTCTTGATTCTTATACAGTTATACTTACCCGATGTCGATTTTTTTTCTTTTCCTTTGTATCTTGATGAACTTGTTGAATTTTGTTTGTGATTTTTGTAGCCCAAAAGATGGGGATCATTCCATCGCCACCACCTTATCTATCCTTGTCACCGAACGATGATCAACTGCTTAAAGGGGTTAATTATGCATCTGGTGGAGCAGGAATACTCAATAGCACTGGACTCTATTTTGTAATCACATTTCTTCCTAAAATATTTTGATCGCGTCGATGAACCCACAACTTCAGGTGCAGGAGTAAATGCTCTATAATCTTACATCCTTTTTTTTATATTTTTCTTCATGACAGATTCAGAGGCTGAGTCTTGATGATCAAATACAAGATTTCAAAAAGACAACGGATGTCATCAAGGCTAAGATTGGGGCACAGGCTGCAGCCAAGCTTTGCAAGGATGCCGTCTACTTCATTGGACTTGGTACTCTTTTATTAGACAAATGAAATCTTGTTCTAGATGAAAAGAACGCATTTTTTATGTAGACGTGGGATAAGTCAGTGACTAATTTCCTTGCACCCGAGTCTAAAGTCCCGTTTCCCGTAATTAGAGTAGTTTAGACAATTGCTCGTATATATCTAAGATCTTTTACTATATATTTTTTTCCTTTGCTTTTTTTTTTCAGGGAGCAATGATTATATCAACAATTACCTGCAACCCTTTTTACCTACTGGTCGGCAGTACACTCCCGAACAATTTGCGGAATTATTGGTCGGTACCTTAGAGAGACAATTTAAGGTTAGTAAACACTAACGAGTAAACGACACATCTCACATCTTTTACAATATTTTGAGAAAAGAAATACCGCGCTTTGCTTAAATATCAAGTTTTATATTCATATTTTAAATTGGTTACTTTAGCGAACGTATTTTAATTCACTCACAATCTTGGTCTTTGATCTTTCATTCCAAGCAAACTTTTTGTAAACTAGTTCGAGTTGTCTCATTCGAAAAAATCCAGGGTTTATACTCAAACTTGGCTTGTTTCTCATTGAGCCAAAGAACATAGGCTTCGATTGTTTCTTTCACAAGCTTCAACGATCCAAAACTGGTGCAAGCTCGAGCTCTTTCGAGCCGATTTACAGCCCTAAACCCTAGTTAATTAACAATGCATGTTCAAATTGTTTGTCAGAGGCTCTACCAGCTGGGTGCCCGAAATATGACGTTCCATGGTCTCGGACCACTTGGCTGCATTCCTTCTCAAAGAGTCAGATCAAACACAGGGCAGTGCTTAAACCAAGTGAACCAGATGATGCTAGGATTCAACTCCAAAGTACAAAAGCTCCTTGCCTCTCTTAACAGCCAACTCCCAGGGGCAAAACTCTCATTTGCAGACACATACGGAGACGTCCTCGACTTAATCCAAAACCCTACAGCTTCCGGTAATCAAACTCGATAACTCAAACTGTAGATTCGAAGTTGATTCGCAGACGTTTAACTTACAACGTACGTACCAATTTTTCAGGGTTTAAGGTTTCGAACCTTCCGTGTTGCAATGTGGCCACAAACATTGGAGGGCTATGCTTGCCTAACTCACAGGTATGCAGCAACCGGAGAGACTACGTGTTCTGGGACGCATTCCACCCTACCGACGCAGCGAACGCGGTTCTCGCAGATAAACTCTACCCGAAACTATTCGCGCCTCCTTCACCCTAGTAGGCATCTCTCCGATGATTACTCAAGGATACATTACCATTACTATTACCGTATGTAGTTCTGCAGAGTTATGTCAGCCGCGTTTTGTCTGCAGACAACAAGCAGATTTATTTTTCATCGCACCTTCCTACAAAGAATTTGCACTTCAATCTTAATTTGTTCCATTTGGATTGTAATCGGCGTTTTAGTCTTTGCTTAAGATCAAATTACCCGAGTGTAATGTACTATGAAGAAACGAATATATATTTATCTTTTCCCGCCAACCGATTGTTCATGAATCGGATGGTCATTCACCCTTAAATTTGATATCCGAAGAACTCATTCTTTTAATCCTTTAACATCAAATTCAAAAGTGACCAAGAAAACGGGACTCTCGGATTCAGATAATTAACAAATGACAGGAAAATGAAAATAACTTTTTTTTCTGAAGTGGGAATTTGGGATCAGACTGACGTGCAAACATAATTCAGCAGAGCAGAAGCCTATGTCACAGTTTAATCATCATTCCCCAAAATAAATGTCAAACATACGTTAAAGTATCACAATACAATTAGTTATTAAATAATTTTAAAAGTTTTTCAGTGTAATACAAAGTGTGGCGTATCAAATGTTATAATACAATTAGTTAAAAATTATTTTTACTTGCATTAAACAATCATCTAAGAGTTAAAAACCCTAAAAAATTCGACTACTAAACCTTAACCAAAATATTAAGAATAAAAGAGGGTAAGAAACCCAAAAAGATTACAAGAACCCTAAAAAATAAATTAGCAGAAAAATGGTGATTAGTTGCTCTCAGTCAAGGGCCAAAGTTTGTCCACATGAGAAACATCAAACAGTTGAAAAACAAACCCTAACAAGAATCAACCCAAAAAATCAAACAATGGGCTTCAAATGCTTGCCAAATCCTTCTTCTCTTCCCTAAAACCAGAGGTCAGATCCAAAAATCAACCTCTGTTATTAGAAAACGGAGTCATCAAGAAACACCAAGCACAAGAAGCACCGCCGTTGATCTGCGCGGTTAATTCAGGGGAGGGAAGATCCAACGGTTCTAGCCTCGCTTCGGTGTGGTTAAAGCAGATAAAATCATCATCGAGCAACAAGAAAAACAGAAAATTTGGGACTTTTGGGGTGTTTGGGAGGTGAGAAAAATTGTGGGACTTACGAGAAAAAGTCAGAACTCATCGTAGTGATATGAGAGCCTGCCTGTCCAGAAGTACCAAGTATCCTTTTGGACATTGATTTCGCATCTTTTCTTAGTCTCCCTGCCATTAACAACGGCAGAGAAGTTCGTAGTAGATGCCTTTCTGCAGATTCTTAATCAAGAAAATCAAATAAAAAATACGAAAAAATACAAAAAAAATTGAAGGTAAGAAGATTCATAGAGGAGGAAGGCAGAGATTGATAGCTGCGGAGGTGCTTGGGGTTGAATTTATATAGAAACAGAATGTTTAGGGTTTGTGGTTCTTGATGACTACGGAGCATATGCCTTCGGATTTGGTGTTTTGAATGGGCCGAATTTTGTGATTGGGCCTTAACACAACCAGCCTCAATCCAAATGGAGTTTCGGTCCAATATGCTTTCAAAAAGATAAGTTGAGAAACAGAGACTCATATAAGTCCAAATGCTTTTGAGAAGCAATATGTCACGAACCCAAAATTTTCTTTTCGATTTGTTTGTTTGATGCATTTTGTAGGAAGTATAATAAGCCGATGTAAGGAGTTTCGCACAAGGTTAAAATTACTTTGGTATTTCTTTAACCAATAAAAGAAAAAGACGAGTTAGACTTTGTCACACTGCCGGTGGTGAGCTGAGGATTTTTTTTGTATGAGAGCTTTAATCTGATAGATCTTTTGTTATTTATTAAAGATCTATATGAATAATCTTGTTTCGGAATCAATTAAATATACAAACTTTGGTCCCGAGATGTGTCTTTAATTTTGAGATAGTTTCTCCACTTTTTTTTTGCTCATTAAAGAAAGTACCAAGACATAGTAGTTAGTAGCATATTACTGGTGTCATACTTGGCCTTTACTGTATGTCTACATATGGAACTTCACAACTAATACCAATTTAATTTGTAATGTATTCCCACCTACCTGATAAGGAGAGACTACTATCTGTTATTGCCTTCATTTGCTGGCATATTTGGAAGGCGCGCTGTAATCATATCTTCAATGACAAAGCCATCACACCTGCTCAGGTTATTCACTTCATTTCTTACACCTATGATGCCTACTGGGAGGCTAACCACCCATGCCCTTCACCCTCCCCGCCACCTCCGAACTCCCATCTGCTAGTCTTTCATTGGTGTCCCGCTAATGAGTCTTTTCTGAAGACCAACGTCGATGCCAGCTGGCTCCCCGCAGAGGGTAGGGGATGTTCTGCCGCGGTGGTGTGCAACCATGGGGGGCGCTTTGTGGCGGCCAGGAAGCTATCCATCTTGCCACGAAGGGTGGTGGTTGCTGAAGCGATGGCTTTGCTCCATGTCTGTGAGTTGGCTGCTGAACTAGGCTATCGGAGGGTCACTTTTGAATCTGACTCCTCGTAGATTATTTCCTCCCTGCAAAGTGATGTAGCCAATGGCAGGAACACTTGGGTCAGGCGACCCCAATCTTCACTGATCCACATTCTCAACAAGGAAGGTCTTCCTTGTCCTCCGTAATGGTTTTTTTGTAATGGGGGTGTTAGGGGTGACGTCCTTGCTTTAGGGGCATCGTCTTAGTCTTTGATTCCCTTTTCACCGCCCTTTCTTGTATGTATTTGCATTATGCTTGCCCCTTTCGTGGGCTTTCTTTGTATTGTTGACATTTGCCCTGGTTACGAAAATTTTCAATTCATCAAAAAAAAAAAAAAAGAGTTACAGGGTAGCGAGGTTCGGAAGCAGGGGTGCACCCTTCTACTTTTTGTGAACATGACTTCTTTTCTGCACTAAATTAATTAATATAACAGATTCAACATAAATAAAAAAAAATTACTTACTAGGGTTCCAAATTTTCAAACTCACCAAATCAACAACTTGAAATTTCAAAGTCACTTTGAGGGAAGAAAGTGTAAAGTCGATTTGTAGAATGCATGTATGCCGTCAATTTGGAGGAAGCAAGTAGGCCGTCGTTCCTCAACCCAAATTGCGAACAAAATTCAGTGCGGCTTTTGTGTCGCCATTGTCAAGTTTGGGTTGAGTTCATTTGGGCATTAAGTAACAGGAAAACTAATGAAAATGATTTGAAACTTTGAGTTTTAATGAAAAATCATACACTAATTTTATTTAATGATAAGGATAAAAATAAAAAATAAAAAACATAAAAAATAAAAATCGCGATCAGTGATGTTTGTAAAGAAGCAGTTGTCATTCGTTGCTTCCACGGCTGGACCAAGAAAAATCAATCGGTTTGTGATTTTTGTGTCTGTTTCAGTTGTCACCATGACTAATATCGACTTCTGTTTTCTTCTTCTTCTCAATATCCTTTGTGTAGCGTCCCCTACCCACCCACCTAAAACTCCATCAGACCCAGATTTCAAACCCAAATTTGATCCAAGATACTAGAAGACATTACTAGCAACATATTACAACAAAACCAAGCTAATTTTACCTCCTCTTTTCAAGGGTTGTAGCTTGATTCCATTAGAGCAACTCTCACCAAGAACCCCTGCTTGGATTATCCTACTTCCCATTACAAAATTTAACATGCAATGGTACCATAGGGATCCCCAGCTTGTGCATGTCTTGTATTTGGTGGTTTGGGGTCTCAATTAAAATTGGAATTTGTGGTGATGGTGCTTGGAGTTCTTTTTTGCTATGGTGGTTTAGAGAGAAGGTAGAGAGTTCGAAAAGAGAAAAGAGAGAGAGAGAGAGTTCTAGGGTGTTCACTGGGGAAAAGGAAAAAAAGAAAGAAAAGGGGAAGAAAAGAGAGTGGGCTGGGTTACAAACACAACACAAATGGTGTAGTATTGTTAAGTTTCATAAACAGTGTAGTAAATTTTATGAACAGTGTCGTAAGTTTTCATAAACAGTACAGTAAGTTTCATAAATAGTGTCGTAAGTTTCATAAATAGTGTAAAAGTTTCATAAACAATGTGAGGACGCATGAGTTCACGCGTTAGATTTTTTTTTTAAAATTTTTTTAATATTAAAATTATGTCATTTTCATTAAAATTTAAGTTCTTTTGTCATTTTTATTAAAACTTAAGGGTTTTTCATTAAAATTTAAGTCTTTTTAATTAAATAAAGTTATAGCATAATTTTTGTATTAAAATAAACTTACTCCAATCCATTTTCTTGAAAATTCCCGTAACGGATCATTTATGATCTGGTTTCACCCTAAGTTGGTTCTGGCTGATTAATTGTCAGCCGTTCAGCTAAAATCCAACGGTTTGCGTTGGTCCGCAAACCCAAGTCCGCCTAGTAAATTTGCGGGTTTGTTTCCTTTTCATTTTGTGAGTTTTGGGGTATTCTGGGCTCAGTGTCGTCGTGTACTGATCCAGGCCCACCAATGGAACCCTTCTTTTCCTTTTTTGCATTTTGATTACATTTGGGCCTTGTGGAGGTTTTTGTATTGAAGATTGGCGATACCTTTGCATTGTGGTCGATCCTGTAATTCAGCCATTGATTTTTGAAGTTTCCTTTCAAGGACTATCTAAACAAAAGCATAATCCAAACCGGTTTAGTCATCTAACTAACGTTGATCTTTTTTAGTAAAGCGAGGGGTTTAGATGGTTAGTTGTTATGGGGAAGGATCCGATGAGGATCATACTCGCCCTAAGGTGCATATGCATGATTGTTTTACGCGTTACATTTAGAGGGGTGTATTCAATTGAGAATTTGAGAGATTTTAATAGATTTATAAATCCATGGATTTTTATGGAGTTTAATTGATTTGTAGAGATTCCATATAAAATTTTGATTCAATTCCCTCGAAATCTCATGGGAATAGGTGAGATTTGTGGATGCTTAAAATACACTACAAAATCTCTCCAATTCCCTCTAATTCCTCAACTTTCTCAAATTCTTTAAAATCAATTTCTAATTGAATACACCTAGAATGTTATAAACTTCTTTAAAATCCTAATTGAATACACCCGGATTTCTAAGGATTTTAATAAACTATCTTAAAATTCTAATTGAATACACCTTGAATTTCAGATAATCACTTAAAATCCTGATTGAATACCTCTAGATTCATTAAAAGAATTAAAATCCCTTAAAATCCCCAATTGAATACACCCCCTTTAAACAAGTAGATGTAGGGACTAGTAAAACAAAAAGAAACAAATTGATGTTGGGAGTTTTTTATTTTTATTTTTTTCTTAAAGGGGACCACTTGGTGGCGAAGCCATGATAGTTTACTGTTATGGGGCCTGGAAAGACTCACAGAGGCATTTCAGATTTCTCTGACCACCATCATGTAATTCATCAATGCCAGTAATCGAACCTAGAATTCACCGCAACCACTGAGCCACCTATGGTGGTTGATGTATGGAGTGTTTTAAATAGACGGACAAATTAGTGTACT